AGCAGAGTGGAGTCATGTTGACTGGGAAATTATTAGGGAAGGCTGACTGGCTGGAGAATATCAGGCTGTTTGCTGTATGGTTCCCTAGGGAGGGTCCTACCCAGGAGGACATGTGCCCTTCCCTCCAGAATGGAAAAGCTGAAATCAAAGCTCACAAGTGCCCATTTCCTTTGAGGCCCAAAGTTTGGAGCTATTTCTCTGCAGAGAATCCCGTTTGAGTTTCTATGCCCTAGGAACTGGGCTGGCAGGAGGTAGTAACGAGAAACCCTGAGACCAGGCCGAGGCCAATCCTGGGAGATGTTTTCCCTCCAGATTAATTTTAAGAACTACCCATGCTGCCTGAGGTGTGTGTTTGGGATCTGGGCTCCATATCCAGCTTTAGGCTAGAGCATTCCTTGAACACACATTCTCAATGGCAGATTTATGGTCTCTGAGACTATTTCAGGCCAAGAATTTTATCAAAGTTTCCTTGACATAGGCAACAGATAACCAAGAAAGTAGCTGCCTTAAGACGAATAGTCCTGGGGGAGAAACTGGGGGCCCTGTCCTAGGGCTGTGGAGACTTAGCTGCTCAGCTGGGCTGCTCTATCTCTGGGTCTCCTGCCAAAATCCAGCCCTGGGAACAAAGAAATACTTCAGCTCCTTCTTACTCTCTTAACACCAACGGCTGTGGGAGAGGGAAAGGCTCAAGGCCAGGGCTCAGCTCCCAGCCTCCATCTCCTCCCACAGCTGCCGCATTTGGGGGGACCTGCTGAATGTCCTTGCTGTCCTCAGGACAGTACTGAGGCCAGACTGAAGCCTGCTATGCTGCTTGCCGGCTGCAAGAACCAGGCACGAGGATGAGAGTTGGGGAAGGGATTGGGGGGGGGGGGCGCGTGGCAAGGGTGGCACACAAGTCTAGAAAAGTTTGAGATGAAGGGGCGGGGCTGGGAACAAATTGGTTAACTTTGCCACTCTGTGGTGCTTTTCCCCTTTCTCTTGAATTCTGCTTTGAAAAGAATAAATTTGTATTTGTTTACTTTGGTTCTTCTGGTTATACTCTTTGACTCTGATATTCCACATCCTTCCCTTTTTTGGGTGTGGGAAGAGAGGGTGTACCAAGAAGCCACAGGAGCACTGCAAAACATCAGCCACCAGATGAGTCCAACACCTACTGAACAAAAAGACACCCCCACCAGCCCCATCCCCCACTGTCACCTGGAGTAGTTGCCTCTCAAGGCCCCACACAAATTAGCTAGTTATCGCCTCACGGGATGAGCTCTCTATACAATGGTTTTTAAATACCATCCTCATCAATCTGAGGAATTTTTCACCAGCCTGAAGCAATATGAGAAAAGTCAGGACAATGTGGTGAGCTTCCAAAAAGTTACATTTATTCAATTTAAAGGTCTATCCTGGGGGCTGGCCCCATGGTGTAGCGGTTAAGTGCACGCGCTCCGCTGCTGGCAGCCCGGGTTCGGATCCCGAGCACGCACCGACGCACCACTTGTCATGCCATGCTGTGGCGCCATCCCATATAAAGTGGAGGAAGACAGGCATGGATGTTAGCCCAGGGCCAGCCTTCCTCAGCAAAAAGAGGATTGGCGACAGATGTTAACTCAGGGCTAATCTTCCTCACACGCACACAAAAAAAGCCATTTTCTGGTAAAATAAAACCCCGTCCATTTCCAACCACCAATTTTTCTTTTCTCACTAATCTATAATGCACTGTCCAATAGAAATATAATGTGAGCCACATACACAATTTTAAATTTTCTAGCAGCCATATTAGAAAAGTAAAAATAAACAGGTGGACTTAATTTTAATAATATATTTTATTTAACCCAATATATCCAAAATATTATCAACATGTTATCAGTATAAAACGATTACTAATGAATAAGATATTTTATATTCCTTTTTTTTTAACTAAGTCTTAGAAATTCTCAAGCAGGCTGACTGATTCAGCTGGTAAAGGAACAAGAAACTCACATAGATCCAGGCAATTTATTACTTATAGAGATAGCAAAGCTCAGCAACAGTATCAGCTCCCTGCGTCCCGTCTCACAGGACGACACTGAAACAAAAGGGGCTAGATGATGTGCAACGTGAATGGCCGGGCCCCCTGTTGCTGAGAAGCCAGTTCCACGCTGCAGCTTGGCAGTTTTATGGCCTGCAGCTGTACCCTTGGCGGTGGGCGGCAGGTAGAAAGGCCCATGCCTCACCAAAATGAGGGAGGCAGATAAGAAACTGCCTCACCACAGCCTCCCTCAGGATAGGGAAGAGAAGAAGAAATGATCTTGTAGCCCCTCATGAGACCGCCTATCTTCCCATGTTCCCATGTTCCCCTGCTCCAAGAGGATCACAAGGCATTCTGCCAAGGCCTGGGGGAGTCTGCAGTTGAGCTTTGCCTATGTGGCCTATGTGGATAGTGCCAGGTTGTTGGGGCACTAGCACAGAGCAGTTCCCATACAGAAACGCGGTGTATATTTTACACTTAGGGCACATCTCAATTTGGGCTAGCCATATGTCAAGTGCTCAAAAGCCACACACAGCTAGTGGATACCATATCGGAGAGTCCAGGTCTATAAAATGCAAAAGTAAGAATCACTGGGGTATAGGAAAAAAAGAAACTTCATGAGGTATCATATGTGTGTGGGGTGGGGTGGGGTGGGGAGTCAGGGTAGTAATAAGCCTTGGGTGCCTGGAGGGCAGTGGTGAAGCAGTTAGCCCGGGTTACAGTGAGACATGGTGGCAGAGGGAATGGAACGGCACTGCAGATGCACGGATTCGCCCCTGCCCCTTCCTCTTGTCTCCCCTTCCACCCTGCCTCTCAGCACAACTCTGGCTGCTCTTGGGCTACAGAACAGAGCAGAGACTGGACTAGGGCTCTTCTCCCTCTCTCACCCCTGGCTGCCACCTGTGGCATATGTGCCACCCTCACTGGCCTCAGTCTCTCCATCCATGTCCCCAGGGTACTTTTTATCTGTTTCTGCTCCAGTCCTCTGCATTCGTTCATCTGGAAAGGCCTATCTTCTTTTCAAACCCTGCCTCTTCCCCCACCTTCTGCCTCTGACACTCGATTCCTTTTCTCCATTCTCTCTTTCTTCTCATCTTTTAAATTCTGGGTTTCTGAAAAAAAGGAGCGTTTTTATATCATCTTAGTTTTCAAGTTGTCCTCTAAATTCTCTCCTAATCTTGGCTTCATTTTGTTTGCCCTTAACATGTTTAGCTCCCTCAGGCCCACTTCTTCCCTGCATTTGCCCCCAGCATTCCTTCTGTCTTCATCCCTCCTCCACAGGCCCTGCCCATACATATTGAGCTCTTCTCTGCCCTTGGCTTATTAACTTCAACTTGGAATGGAAGCACTAAAAGTGGCACAGAAAACTTGGGAGTATATTTCCTAGAGAAGAACTGACTTCATCATTTGGGACTAGACCTGGGTCTAGCTGGGCTACTTTCAGAAAACCCTCAGATGCCTCTTGGTGGTAAGCATTATCGCCCTTGATTTCCAGATGAGGAAATAGAGGCTCTAAGAGGTGTAGGGACTTGCCCAAGGTGAGTGGCAGAGCTGGGATTCCAACCTTGTGTTCCTTCCTCTGCAACATAATTCAATGCAAACATCGGAGCTGCCATTTGTATCACTTTTCTATTGTTGTTTTTAGTGCCGTCGAGTCGACTCCAACTCCTAATGACCCTGTATACAGCAGAGCCAAACTCTGCCTGGTCTTTTGCACCATCCTCTTACCTTCTGGTGCTATATCAGACAGTGCTCTGCTGCTATTCATAGGGTTTTCACGGCCAATTTTTTTGGAAGTAGGTGGGCAGGTTCTTCTTCCTAGTCTATCTTACTCTGGAAGCTCCACTGAAACCTGCCCACCATAGGTGACTCTGCTGGTATTTGAGATACCGGTGGCATAGCTTTCAACATCACAGCAACATGCAGTCACAGCAACATGCAGTCGCCAACAGTATGACAACCGACAGATGGGTGGCATGGTTCCCTGACCAGGAAATGAACTCAGGCCATGGCGGTGAGAGCATCAAATCTTAACCAGTAGACCACCAGGGCAGGCCTCACTTCTCTATACCCTCTCTCAAAATCCCAATGCTATATAGTTAATATACATGATTTGCTTAGTTCATTAGAAGTTATCCTAAGAGCTCTTTAGAAGGATGTCTCAGTACTGACAGCACCTTCTGTCATCTCCTAATCATAGAGGTTATTGTTTGTCTCGCCAGTTTCCTTTTGGATATGAGTGTACTCCTCGTGGGAGTGGTTTAATAAAGTGACAGCAATCCATTTAAAATGAGGAATTTATTTAATGCTTAAAGAATACAGACTAGAAAACCTTAACAATACAGCTGAAAAAAACAAACCCACCCAGGGTTTTTAAGGAAGTCTTCACAGGCATCACAGGCATCGCAGGCATCTGGTTTTCCCTAACCTTTTCTGACGGGGGCTAAGATGAAGAAGCTCAGAATAAAGATAACTCAGAATTTCATCTCTGCTTGTCTAACTATTCCCTTAGCTGGCAAGTAACAACCAGACAAAGTCCTAAAAACACAACAGAGCAAAGATGGCAGCAGCAAGAAATCATCCCTGAGCAGGAAAGCAGCCCCATTACCTGAACAGAGGACACAACCTAGTATTAACCTGCTGTGAGGTAGGCACTTAAATTCACTGTGGCAGGTCCTAGCCCTTGGTAGAAACGAGGTGATGTGTTCTATGTTTTAAGAAATATTTAAAACAAACAGAAGAAGGAAAAGCTAAAACATATGCAAACCAGCTGTATGGCCTTTAGGCTAGACTGTCTATCTTTGACAAGCATGGCTGAATCATCTGGTGACACTATAGAACAGAAGCAATGGAAGTAATTCTCAAATTAATAAAGAGAAGCAAAGTCTCATAGTTGAGTTGGATCTTTGGGCCTACTGCTTTTTTTATAGTCTGTCACTTTCTACATGAGTACAAACTTCCAATATAACTAGCAAAAAAAGGTTCAGAGAAACAAATACAAATGATTCAACATGAGGCAACAAAGGAACAGAAACATGCAGTTTCACCCAGTCTTCAGTCTGGATGGTGAATCCAAGGTTTACGTGCCAGGCTGCAGGCTCTCCTCACTTTTCCAGAAGATATTTCAATTGTTCCCGTAGGGAAATGAGCTATAGGGAGAGGCAGAAAAACAGGAAAAATTCATCTGAAATCTTAAGTTCTGTTACTTGATCTAGAATTTACTTATATGAACGAAAAAGAACTACTGAAATTTGGCATTTATTAAGTTATCTTAGTCTTGCAATGTTCCAAAGAACAGCGCCACAGTCAAGAATGAATTTACAGAAGAGGGAAGTCAAGATGGCGGCATAAGCAGACTCGGAACTCACCTCCTCCCGTGGACACAGCCAATTTACAACTACTCGTGGAAAATTACCCCTGAGACAGAACTGAAAACTGGATAAGAGGAACTCCTGCAACAACGGACAATCCTAACTGAGGTAGAAGAGGCAGAGTCTCCCTTCTAGAGAGGAAAAACGCTGCCTTCACCAGCCGCAGTGCCTCACGGCCGCCCAGGAGCAGCCCACAGGTACGCAGCCCTCCCTGGAGGCACCGGGCCCTGAGCCAGGGAGCGCCCCCGCTGGGGGCATTTTGTGGACCCAGAACAATCGAGACCAGCGGCATAATATCTGCCTTTGCCTGCTACTAAAACATTGGGGAGCACCCCCAGAAAA